TTCTTCGACGACAATAAATCAGATTCATCGACATGTTCAAGGCTGTCTCTATCCTCATTTTGCCTATTTCTGCTTCTTGAGTAGCCATGCCTATTTTGCTTAGAGAAATCCGAATACTTCCTATGACCTCCCGAGCTGGCTTGGCACGTAAAAGACGCTCGCAACAACGTACAGTTTACGGGTCGGAATTTGACTGCTGCATTGATTCTATGTTCAGTACATAAAGAGCGAGAAGAGACGGTGGCTGCTCGTCCAAAAACTCCCGAGCACGGAAGGCATCTGCTATCGGACAGTCCAAAGCCTATATCAAATCAAGAATCCATGTTTATATAAACTTTTAAATTTCCAGCACGAGTAGTAATCAAGATCATACGAAGAAAACTTGAACAAAAATCAAAGTATGATTCCATTATTACATTGAGATCTCATGAACACTGCAAGAACAGAGCAGATTTATTCCCAAACCTTTCATTTTTAACCAATTTGCTTAACCTTCGATGCGAATTTGGGAATAGATTTTGTAACGGCCCGAGCCCACCACTGGGCTAGCAGATATTATCCTCTTGAGGCTTTCCTCTTCGGGCTTCCCCTCAAGGCTTTAAAACGTGTATGCTAGGGAGAGGTTTCCACACCCTTATAAAGAATGTTTCGTTCTCCTCCTTAACCGATGTGGGATCTCACAATCCACCCCACTTTAAGGCCCAGTGTCCTCACTGGCACTCGTTCCCTTCTCCAATCGATGTAGGACCTCCCAATCCATCCCCTTTAGGGCCCAGTGTTTTTGCTGGCACACCGCCTCGTGTCCACCCCACTTTGGGGCTTAGCCTCCTTGCTTGCACATCGCCTAGTGTCTAGCTCTGATACCATTTGTAACAGCCCAAGCCCACCGCTAGCAAATATTGTCCTCTTAGGACTTTCCCTCAAAGTTTTTAAACAAAAACGCGTCCGCTAGGCAGAGGTTTCCACACTCTTATAAAGAATGTTTTGTTCTCCTCAACCGATGTAGGATCTCACAATCCACCCCCTTTAGGGCCCAGCATCCTCGCTGACACTCGTTCCCTTCTCCAATCGATGTAGGACCCCCCAATCCACCCCCATTAGGGCCTAGTGTCCTTGTTGGCACACCACCTCATGTCCACCCCACTTTGGGGCTTAGCCTCCTCGTTGGCACATCACCTGGTGTCTGGCTCTGATACCATTTGTAACAGCCAAGCCCACTACTATCAAATATTGTCCTTTTTGGGCTTTCCCTCAAAGTTTTTAAACGCGTCTGCTAGGCAAAGGTTTCCACACCCTTATAAAGAATGTTTCGTTCTCCTCCCCAACAAATGTGGGATCTCACAAAGGGTGTCGAGAAAACAACTTAACAGTCAAAGGCACTTTCATGAACTTAACAGTCAAAGGCACTTTCATGATTTGGGCATGAACAACCTTATGTTTCTACAACGCAAACCATGTTGTCAGCTTACTTAGTGACCGATAAGAAAAAAACAACATTAGTTTCTATAAGCACGACTCGAATATAATTGTCTATTAGTTCTCCGAACGGATGGGGGCACATCGATAAATTATGAACAACACTTCAATGTAACTCAAGATAGAGGAATAATAAAGCCAAGAAATTGAAACAGAATACATATCAACAAGATCACGTTCAAGAATCACCAATATCATGAGAGAGATGGAAAGTTTTGCCACAAGATGTTGAGTTATGCCCAGAACCATATATATCCACTAACAAAATTAAGGCAAGAACATCAAGCAGATAAACAAATCAATGGGTAATGGGTCAAGTAATCTGTAATAGCCCAATCCTACCGCTAAAAGATATTGTCCTCTTTGGGTTTTCCCTTCTGGATTTCCCCTCAAGGTTTTCAAAACGTGTCTGCTAGGGAGAGGTTTCCACACCCTTATAAAGCACGTTTCATTCTCCTCCCTGACCGATGTGGGATCTCACAATTCACACCCATTCGTGACCTAACGTCCTCACTAGCACTCGTTCCCTTCTTTAATTGATGTGGGAGCCCGCAATCCACTCCCTTCGGGGGCCAATGTCCTTGCTAACACACCGCCTCATGTCCATCCCCCTTCGGGGCTCAGCCTCCTCACTAGCACATCGCTCGGTGTCTAGCTCTTATACCATTTGTAACAGCCCAAACCTATCGCTAGCAGACATTGTCCTCTTTGGGCTTATCCTTGTGGGCTTCCCCTCAAGGTTTTTAAAACCCGTCTGGTAGGGAGAAGTTTCCACACTCTTATACAAAATGCTTTGTTCTCCTCCCCGACCGATGTGGGATCTCACAATCCACCCCCCTTTGGGGCCCAGCGTCCTCGCTGTCACTTGTTCCCTTCTCTAATCGATGTGGGACCTCCGAATCCACCCCCCTTTGGGGCCCAGCGTCCTTGTTGGCACACCGTCTCGTGTCTATCCCCCTTCGGGGCTCAGACTTCTCACTAGCACATCGTTTGGTGTCTGGCTTTGATACCATTTGTAACAGCCCAAGCCCACCGCTAGAAAATATTGTCCTCTTTGGGCTTCCCCTCAAGGTTTTTAAACGCGTCTGCTAGGGAGAGCTCTCCACACCCTAAAAAAGAATGCTTCGTTCTCCTCCCCGACCGACGTGGGATCTCACAATCCACCCTATTACGGGGCTCAGCATTCTTGCTGGCACTTGTTCCCTTCTCTAATCAATGTAAGATCCCTCAATCCACCCCCTTCGGGACCAGCGTCATTGCTGGCACATCGTCTCATGTCCATCTCTCTTCGGGCCTCAGCCTCCTCACCGACACATCATCCAGTGTCTAGCCCTGATACCATTCGTAACAGCCTAAGCCTACAGCTAGCAAATATTGTCCTCTTCGAGCATTCTCTTCCAGGCTTCCCCTTAAGGTTTTTAAAATGCTTCCGCTAGTGAGAGGTTTCCACACCCTTATAAAGAATGTTTCGTTCTCCTCTCCAATCGACGTGGGATCTCACATCATCCAACTAAGCAGAGAATTTTCAAGCAATGGAAAGTGGTATTAAGTACTCTAAAACTGAACTTAAACTTGTTGCGCAACAGTCAATTTCTCCATAATTTCCACATGGGAAAGGAAAGAACAACAAAACATAGACAAAATCAAGAACCACAAAACCCTTCCCAAATAGAAATTCAAAATTCAAGAAGCTCAGGGTCCTCAGACAGCACAAAACCCATAAAACTAGAAGAAAATCAAAGACACCCAGTAAATGTAAACAAGATAATATTTAATTTCCAAGCTTCCAAGCAAACAAAGCACAAAATTAAAGAGTACCCAACAACGAATTTGTTGATATCAAGAACAGAAACCTGTAGCGTTGTTAGGAAGAAGATGAGGGAGTTGAGACATTGCTGGTTTGAACAGCTCGAAGGAAAGGTTTTAGTTGGGGGAAAAAGGGTTTTAGATTTGCATTTCTTTTGAGGATTTTCGCCTTCCGCTATGTTCTTCTTTGCCCTACTGGCCTGTGTTTGGGAATATCACCGATAAAGGGAGAGATTGGTTTGGGTTGAGAAATGCGGCATCTTCCTCGGGCGAAGAGGATGTGGTCGGGCCCCATGGGGGACTGGGCTTCCCTAACCATATCTTCCTGGCCCAATCTCAAAATGGCTCTCCTGCTGCCCATGAAAAACCAATAAATATATATATACTCATATTTTTTAAAAGTTACCATATTAATTTTCATATTTGATAATAATAAAAATAAATAAATAAAAATTTAGAAGGTTGGACGAAAAGTCAACCTATCGGAATGTCGTACAAAAAGTCAATGTGTCCGAATATTGTACAAAAAAAGTTAGCATATTTGAATGTCTGTATGAAAAGTCAATGTGTCTGAATATTGTGTGAAAAGTTAACATGTCTGTCTGAATGTTGTACGAAAAGTCAACATCTTTGAATGTTGTAGTTGTATGTTTAGGCTTATCCTAACAAATATCTTAGTCATAGCATCATTTTAGAACAGGGTTATTTTTATATTTATATATATTCCATTTAAGAATTTAAAGGATTTTACTTAAAACATTAGTACTTGAAATATCGTTTTTGTCTGTATATTCTAGCATTTATACCATTGTAGCTATTACTTTGTCGTTTTTTTCTTCGGAAAAATATCAATTTATATCCCTAAGCTTTGAGATTATTTTCATTAAAATTCTTATCTAATAATTGTATTAATTATTAATATAAAAGGGGTTTGCTAGCTCGTTCTTAATCGTAAACCGTTAAGACAAGATTCACATTAATATCAGATGATGAGCTTATAGATGACCCCAAGAGAATAGATTATGGGCTCCTGAGTTTCAAGGAGAAAGAAAAACAATGAGCCCTCAAGAATTAGATTAGGAAACGTGATGTAGAGAATAATTATTAGCTAACTCGGTTATCGAATGACCTCGAATACCTCTAACAAGATAGATGAGCTCGAAGGAGATGTATAGTCAAGACTAATAAATGTTAAAGCTCGAAAGAGCTAGATTAGGGAGAACGATGAGCTCCAACGGGTAGATAAAAAACGAACAAATTGAGGTCTTGAAAGATAGATTACAAGCATAACAAGTGTAACTCGAGTAAGATATATGTCTTACCAAGTTTATCAGTAAATTTAATTTTCGGTCCTGTAAGTACCGTTCTTATTATACATCAAATTCCAAGTTTATTGGAATCGATAAGAACCACAAATTTAGAACGACCCCAATTCATATCCACAAATCATCAGTTTAGTTATGAACAAATGAACCAAAATTATAATCTGAAAAAGAAAAGTTCCTAAATTTGGGAGGAGAAAACGAATGACATTTGTGGCTTTTTTTTTTTTTTTTTGTCATTCGATCAATGAAGTTCTCAATTGTTATCGCTTTGTCGATCATTTTTTGTTCTTTTCTATGAACCTCTGATTCTAATCGATTCTAGCTAAGCCGGTATCTGGTTTTACGACAACAATCTCTCCAATCGTCACAGTCCTGGAATTCGAAGAAGAAAACATGGTGGCCAAAAGAAAGAAGAAACAGGTCTCCGACGAGACTATTATGGAAGATGATATGAACTTCTCCATGAACAACGATGAAGAATTTGATCATCTAGAAGATGATCTGGTGAGACCCATTTTTTCGTCAATCATTTCCGCTCAATTATAAATTTGGTTCAGCTCGATTTTTCTATTTTTCTTTTAAAAAAATTATATTTATTTTTAATTTAAGTTTATTTAGTTTCTCATATATAATTTTTTTTTTACCATTAAACTTTATATTTTCTTAAAAAAAATATATTATTGAAATTTCAAACGTTTCAATATTACTTTTAAACTTTAAAAGAATAAAAAAAAATACCCATATCATTAATTTTTAAAATATCATAAAAAAAAGTATTTAAAAAATACTGTATGCCTCAATTTTTTTAAAAATTTAATACTCTTACTGTTAGTATATAGACAAAAGCGTTAATACCACGTCTTAAAAAACTCATAAACTATCAAAAAGAAACATTAATATCTTTTAACTTTTTTAAAAAATAATATTATTAGTACCGTATTTTTATAAAGTTAAAGGGTATTAATTAAATTTCGAAAGTTCAGAAATATTTTTGAAACATTTTCGAAAATTTAGAATAGTTTTTAAACAAATTACTAACGGGTTCCTTCCAAAATTAACCGTTTATAATATTTTTAGATAAAATATAAAGTTTACTAGTATTTTTATTAATTTGACCTAAATTTTAACGTAACTTAAAAACCCTTTTTTTATACTTTATAAACAGATTTGATCCATAAGTATTTGATTCCTCAAATTCTCTACTTGTTTCCTATTTTTTTTTAACTAAAAAAACAAAATTGGGGCTTATTTGATGAACAGGAAAGATCAGAAGGCGAAATGAGCGAAAAAGAATTGGATGAAATGGAGAAAAAGTTAAGAAAAAAGAAGAAAAAGAGAGCTTTAATCGAATTTCGTACCAAAGTGGAAGAAGCAATCATAGGCGATTCTCTTTTAGGCAAACCCAAACCCAAAGAACATCACAAAGAAATAAGCCTATGGGGAGTCCCTTTGCTACCGAGCAAAGGCCACGAAGGTATCGACCACGTTTTGCTCTGATATGATATGTATGGTAAGCTATAATTCAGTACTAAATATCCTTTACAGGTACCGACGTTTTGCTCCAGAAGTTCTTGAAAGCTCAACGTTACAAAGTCTCCGATGCGTTTGACATGCTCAAGAACACTTTGAAATGGCGCAAAGAGTACAAAGCTGATGAGATTCTTGAGGAGAAACTTGGAGGTGACCTTCAAAATTTGGTGGGTTTCTTGGAGGGTAAAGATAGGGAAGGCCACCCGCTTTGGTTTCATGCAAATGCGGCGTTGAGAGATAGAGAAATGTATCAAAGAACGTTTGGAACTGATGAGAAATGTGAGGAGTTCTTGAGATGGATGGTTCAAAATATGGAGAGAGGGATCCAACGGCTGAGATTTGAGAAAGGAGGCGTTGATTCTATCGTTCAAATTACGGATTTGAAAAACTCTCCTGGTCCCGCTATGAAGGAGTTTCGGAGTGTTAGCAAGAAAGCTCTCTTGCTTATACAAGATCATTATCCCGAGCTTGTTTATAAAAACGTAAACGATTCTCTTTCTCTTCTAAGTTTGAATGATACTTGTTGCTATCTCTATTTTTTTCTAAGAGGTCGTAGTGTTTTTTTTTATACAGATAGTTATAAACGCTCCGTTTTGGTATTATGCTCGACATATACTCCGGTCGAAGATTATTAGCCATAAAACCAAGGCGAAGTTCATCTTTGCCAATCAATCAAAAGTGTCAAAGACGCTTCTCAAGTGAGCTTGTTAGGGATCTTTTATATCTTCAAAAGTTTTGTATTGAATACTTTTAAGCAATTGGTTTGGACTAATGTAATCCAGGTTTATCGCCCCGGAACAATTGCCGGTTCGATATGGCGGGCTTAAAAGAGATGACGACGACGAATTCTCACCGGCTGATAAAACTTCAGAGCTTACCATTAAAGGAAACTTCGCTGGAACCGTTGAATTCCCCGCTCCTGAGGTAAGCCAAGACTTGTGGGTTAGACGACGTTTTTGAACCTAATCTAAAAGTTTCTAAAACATTAAGTTAATGGGTTACAATTGGATTTGCAGGTTGGGGTGAAAATCCCGTCTTTGAACCTAATCTACAAGTTTAAGTTAATAGGTTACGATTGGATTTATAGGTTGGGGTGACGAACCTCGTCTATGAACCTATTCTAAAAGTTTAAGTTAATGGGTTACGATTGGATTTATAGGTTGGGGTGACAAATCTCGTCTTTGAACCTAATCTAAAAGTTTAAGTTAATGGGTTATGATTGGATTTGCAAGTTTAGGGTGACAAGCCCGTCTTTGAACCTAATCTAAAAGTTAAAGTTAATGGGTTACAATTGAATTTGTAGTCTAGGGTGACAAACCCCATCTTTAAACCTAATATAAGAGTTTAAGTTAATGGGTTATGATTGGATTTGCAGGCTGGGGTGACAAACCCCGTCTCTGAACCTAATCTAATAGTTTAAGCTAATGTGTTACGGTTGGATTTGTAGACTGAGGGGCCTGCGTCTTTGAATCTAATCTAAAAGTTTAAGCTAATGGGTTACGATTGAATTTGCAGACTGGAGTGACGATAGTGTGGGACGTGACGGTAGCGGGATGGGACGTGGTGTACAAGGAAGAATTCGTGCCAGAAGATGAAGGATCATACAGAATTCAGTTGCAAAATCAGAAAAAAATGGGAGAGAGCTTGAGGAATTGTTTCTACATCAATGAGCCTGGAAAGATTGTTATCACAATTGAGAATCCAACATTCAACAGCAAGAAGACTGTGTATTACAGATCAAAAGTCAAGCCCACCGTCCCAATGTACATCTTGTTCAACAAATAGTTGAGATTCGTTCGAAAAATAGTATTCGAATTGTTTTTAAAAAGTTTAGAGATTTATTAGACAGAAAGGATCGATCGAACATAAGTTGTTGTATAAGAAAGGCCTCGTCTTTATTATTATTATTACGATTATTCCGAAGCTTTAAAACCTAAATTATTACACCATAAAAACAAAAGCCAAAACTGGCCCTTCCTACCAAACCGAACCAAACCAAACCAAGCGCTTTACATAGCTTCTATCGGGTTAGCCCTACGTGCCGATGATGACATGCGTGGGGGCAGCAAAGTGGTCTCTTCCCTGTTGAATTTGAGCCTTAGAGCCTCTTCGTTTGAGATTCTATAAGCGCTGGCAATGACTTGAACTGGGAAGGCTCTCATGGCTGAGGTCCGCCCGGCCAGTGGGGTGATCATGGCGTTGTCATTGGTCTTGAATGATACCCATTCGAACCCTTCATCGCTTGCTTTCTTGACTAAGGCGAAGTTTTGTGGTACCACTAGTAGCTGTCGTTGTTGTAGCTCGCCGTCGAATACGGTTTGGCCTCGGTCGTCGACTACTTGGACTCTCGCACGGCCTCTTGTTACGAATATGACACTATGTGCGTTTTGGTTCCAATGCGGGACGTACATTGCATTCTGTTGTGCACAAAGAATGGTTTGGTTTAGTTCAAAATTAGCTCAAATTGACTCAAAGCTATGTGGGGTGGTGCGCTTACTCTATAAAGGACACCACGCTCGGCGCTTAGTTTAAGCCAGCGGAGGATGGGGAAGCGATGGCTGTTGGTGGTGCTAAGACGACCAGCTTCAGGTGTGTAGATATCAGCGCGGGAGGCATCGCCAATGTTCTCCTTTAATCTCATAGAGCAAATGGTTTCATCCAAACCATTGTCGTCGGCCCATCGGTGGCTTCGGCGGCCTCGGCTGCGCTCGTATGCTCTCTCTTGCTCCTCCTCTTGTTCCTCCTCCCATTGTTGTTCGTCTCCTCTTTGTCCTCCTCGTGATCTTGGTGGCTTGATTACCTCGAATTGTCCCTCGACCTTTATGATGTTGCGTCGGAAGTCGTCTTCTCCACGAAGCTTCCTCGCCATCTCGGTGTTTATGTTGAGAACTTCTGCGAGAACTCTGTCGTCAAAGGCAAAGAAGATGTTGTTCTTGTTGCTTGATCCCTCCCGGCGGGTACTGTGTCGTGTTTGCTCTTGCTTCCATTCCGATCTCCTCTCTGAGAATTCCTCCTCTGGGTTTCCAGCCAAGTAGAACGCCTGAAAAAGAAATCAAATTTATTGTGACCCTGTTGAGAATTGTTGGGGAGGAGTCCCACGTTGGCTAATTAAAGGAGTGATCATGAGTTTATAATTAAGAAATACATCTTCCTTAACTAAAAGTAAAGTCATGAGAGATGATGCTCAAAGTGGACAATATCATACCATTATAGAGAGTTGTGGTTTCTAACATGGTATCAGATCCATATCCTTAACTTAGCCATATCAATAGAATCCTGAAATGTCGAATAAAGAAGTTGTGGGGCTTGAAGTGGTAGGCAAAAGTGACTCAAGTGTATTTTGTTCGAGGGCTCCAGAGGAGTCAAGCCTCGATTAAGAGGAGGTTGTTCAAGGGCTCTATAGGTATCAGGGGAGACTCTATGAAAGTTGTAAGACTCGAAGGTGTAGTCAAAAGTGACTAAGTATTAAATAAATAGTGTACTTTGTTCGAAGGTTTCAGAGAAGAAGTTGAGTCTCGATTAAAAGGAGATTGTTTGAGGGCTCCATAGACATCACAAGAGACTCTATGGTGTACTTTGTTCGAGATGAGGATTGTTGAGAATTGTTGGGAGAGAGTCCCACATTAGCTAATTAAGGGGTGATCATGGGTGAGCTGATACTCAAAATGAATAATATCACTAGACAATATCATACCATTGCAGAGGGTAGTGATTCCTTCCTAGGACAAAATCCTGTTCCCTAAGCTCTGACAAGAATTTCCAAGCGGACCCGTAACTAAAAACTTCTTCAATTTAGTAAAGTTTGTAAATTTATTGCGACCCATTACTGAAAACTTCTTAAATTTAGCAAATCTAGTAAATTTATTACGACCCATGAATTCAAATTGACATACCCTTGGATGGAAGTCCAGTTGGTTTGCATGGTTACTAACGTCAAGAAGAACAACGATAATAAGTTTCTCATTGCCATCATTATACGTCCAATGAGCAGAGCCAGCAGGCACAGCAAAGAGGTCACCGGTGCGAACACGGCGGATCTTCTGGTGGCGATCACGAAACTCCCCAGCCGATTGCTGAGACTCTTGGTACGTTTCAGGGCAACCTGAAAGCACAACTCCCTTGAACCCTCTCCCTCTTTCAACGTACATAAGCCGTGGGGCATTAGTGTACTGAGGAAGGAGAAGACCCTTGGGGTCAATTAAGTATCTCTGGAAAGCCACGCCGGCGCATTGAAACTCCTCATGGTTGGGATCCCACATCTCGATCACACCGCCTTCGGCCTCGATACGGTTCGAGGGTTCGAGGGCATCGAGTCGGTCAAGGCGGCACTCGCGGTACCGGCGCTGGCCCTCGCCGTAGCGCTGGCTCTCGCCATATCGCCGGCTGCGGTAGCCTTGGATGTTTTGATCGGTTGCTAGGCAGACATTGAAGAGGACTAAGAAGCAAAGGGAAAAGGAGAGTAAAAGAGGGTTTCCCATGGCTAATGTTTGTGTTTGGTGTATTGTTTGAAGTGATTAGGGAAGTGGGAAATGTTGGGATTTATAGATGGAGAAATATGGTGAAGGGTTGGACACGATTGAGAAGAGTTTGCCATTTTTCATATTGCATGGCTGCAAATGCCTTTGTGTTTCAACACATCATTGTTTTGGTATGTCGGAGGTGGCTTTAGGTATCTGAAGAAATGAAGGGTAAATTCTGATTTATAAGGTTTGTGTTGGCACTTTACATTGTGTCGTTTATGTTGTCTTACATTTCTCACTTCCCAAAGTATTTGTAGTTTAGTTGTTTGGTTTTGATACGATATTGTGTTCGAATATGTTCGATAATTAATGTATGAGAATTAAATGTCTATGTTTGTTTTACGGGTTTTATTCTTTGTATGAATTAACCTAAATTTGAAAATGAACATTAAATTTAGATTTTTACGACTTCACTCTAGCTGTTAGTCTTGTTTGGACGATAGAACGGAGAGAGGAGGAAGGGAGAAGCAGCTGTCGTGGAAAAATCGTTGTGGGCTAGCTTGTAATTTGGGAGTCTCGAAGAGGTGCCATTTCTTAAGGTTGATATTGTTTGTAAGGTAAATTTTTAGGAACGAATCCTAGTTTTGGAGTTCTCTCCGACCTATATATTACTAATAAATAAAAAGGAGCTTATCTTTTTCTTACACCAGCGCAGAGTGTCACAATTGCACTCTTGCAGTAGCTTGACAACGATTGTGTGACACTTGTTCTAACTTAGTGAACAAGTCAACCTTGAGAAATTTAGATTTTATAAACAAAGTCGGCGTATACTCGAGCTTTGAGTCACTTTTGTGAGAAATGTTTTAAAAAATGTGAGCAAGGAAATACGTTTGAAAATAGTTTGAAAGAATGGAAGAAAGCAACATTATATGGCTATATGCACAGAAAGAAACACCACGGCTTAAATAGCATAAAATTCAAGCTAGAAAGAATTGACGACTAGTTGCATCCCCTATAGTACATTTTGAGGCATTTTAGCTCAATGTAGACATGATTTTGGTGAAAGGTCGTACACCTCCGTATTGACACAATATGATATGGTAAAGGTTCTTCTAAGATAAAAGCATGAAAAATGAGATTGTAACCGACATGCAGCCATGGACAACACATTCTAGACAACCATGATCGAGACATCCAACATACGACTATAGACAACACACCTTAGACAAGCATGATAGTGACCTATAGTAGCCTTTTATCTCATCTATGTGCTACTGGGACAAGGCACCCGGTCTTATTCATATGTTATAGACCCTTTAGATTATTAGTTGAACATGATCATTTTATATGATAACCACGTACCGTTCATGGATAACATTAAATTAAAGTTATTGTAAAATAAAATAATTAATTACCCGCCTTTACAACATAAATTTCAACATTTGCAATAGCTAGTCATTCCACAACTATCATCCGTCATAGCTTCATTGGTTGTTTTTCATCAAATCCTCGCCCTAGTGCACTCTCTCACTCCCCCCCCCCCCCCCCCCNCCCCCCCCCCCCGACTATTTTTGGGCATTTTTTTCATCATCCCTTTGTAACGAAACTTTCGACCACCTATTGTAGTCGATCGTTGATTTACATCTTATTGATCATGTTTCACTACACGGGTTTCTTATGACTACAATAAATTCAACGAGTTCGACATTCACATCTCGAAGACAACTTCACCATGCAATCAATGTCATCCTATCTATTGGTGACCACATGTGCAAGAAAAACCAACAACATGATGGTGTGAGTAGTGTTACTCAAATCTAGTTACACAAACAACATGATACATCTTCTCTAGTGAAACGCTCTCATCCAGGTCCAACAATTGGTTCGGGTGAGTTTTTCGCTTTGTTTTGGTTCAATTCACATTGTTTCTCTCAATTCCTATTCACGTCAAGTTGATTTTCTTCATTCTTGTTTAGTTCAACAAGTTTTCTTTATTTCTCATTCCGTTCAAACTTTTTATGATTAGTTTATATAGTTACTACCCTACAACATCATCTTGGAAGGTAATAGTAAATGCCACAACCCCTATATATATGCATTTTTATCATCTCATTCCATTCAACTTTTCTATATGTTTACAAAATATTCATATCATTTCACAAATCTTTTGAAATTTCAAATAAAAATTAGGATATGAATGACACGAGGATGACATAGAACTGAAATTTCTATCATCACACTTTAAAATATCATCACTGTTAAGCCCAACTATGAGTGACTATCTTTAGGTGAAGATGATTTAGAATTTGTAGGAATAGAGGTAGGGAAATGATCTAGGGATTTTAAGAATAAATTTAGGAAAATGATTCACGTATTTTAAAAAATGTTTAGAAATTTTAGAAATAGATTGCCGTATAAATATACCCCTCCACCCTGCTTAGTTGGT